TACCCCTGTTATAGCCCATGTCATTCTACGTCTGTCCTGCAGTTGTGGGTCTGTCTTTCCTGCTAGATCGGAAGCCCCTTACCAGCAGGGACCTGTCTGTCTTATTAACCTTTCTTCCCCTCGTGATATCTGGTCAGGAGCCTGTTTTCAGAGGCAGTTTAATGTCTACAAAATCGATGGATGCTCCATACCCTGTATTCATAATCCTGTGTTTTGCTGCCAAACACCAGATGGCACTGTTAGCATGTTGATGAAGATGATTATAAACCCTCAGACGGGGAAGGCTGGGAATGGCTTATGGAAATCTTGCTTCTGTTTTGAGATTGTATGAGACTTACTGTTTCTCACTTGTTCTAAACACATCTGTTTGAGTTTATTCACGAAGCATGTTCATGTTGAGGTTAGACATGAGTCTGAAAGATACTATTGATGCTTCCCCCTCACAGGTCAAATCCTCAGACAAGACAGCCTTCATAGTCTCTCCAGACCCAAAGCGGCCCTCCTAACCTACCAAAAATATCTCCCAATTACTCATTGAGAGGCACCCAGCTGCCTCACTAATTTCAACCCACTGCTGGCAAAAAATTGCTGGCTCTGCATCTCCCTTTCCTCCTCCTTTTACGCTGCTATTCCTGCCCTGCCAGCCAGCTGGGCGACCTTTTCCGTCTCCCTCCACCTCTGCACCTCTTTTAACAGTCCCCACCCTCCCATAGAGCTGCTCTATTTCTTAGATAAGTTTAGCAAAACTTCCCCAGACATTTCATACCAACAAGCTGCTATACTTCTCAACTATTTACAGCAAGTCTCACCTCATATTAACTCCACTCCACCCATGTTAGGACCCCTTACGACACAGACAACCATCCCCACTCCTGCTCCTCTATGCATTTCCCATCAACAAACCACTGGAATTCCCTTGGGTAATCTTCCACCTTCTAAGTGCTCCTTTACAAGTGAGGACATGAAGGATAGCTACGCAGTGAAACATGTGGTCTGGTTGACTTGAGAGAAAAGGAATGTCGCACAAGGGTTGTGAGTGTGGAAGGGGGAATGAAGGGCTGGAAGCAACATTGGGATAAGCCCTCATGGATGAAGTCTGGCAAATTGAAGTACAAATGAATGGGTCGTGAGTGTTCAGAGGCAGGAAAGAAAGGTTTAAATACTCCTTACTCTTCATCTCCAAAGCCCTGACACACATGTTAATATGCCTTTAGGAGCATACTCACTTCGCTTCACAGACAATCGGCTATCACTACTAATAACCTCAAAATAGTAACAGTCATTATTGTCTAGGTCAGCACCTTCCCTGTCTCTCACTCCATCCTTGGCCACCCTCTCCCTGTTCCTCAAACTCTCCTCCTAGACCGTATCCATGCTTACTCATACCCAGCCCTACAAATGGTAGTGACAGACTATTTGTCGATACTACGCGCTCCCTCATACATTATGAAAATCAAACCGCCCCCATCACACAGTTAGCTCAATCTCTCTTTCAACCCCTGACTGCTGCCGTTCTTGCTGGATCTTTAGGAGTTTGAGTATCTGACTCCCCTTTTCAAGGATTTCTCCCACCTTTTCATCCTACACTTTCTTTTTTTTTTTTTTTTTTATAGTTTAATGTATTTTAATAGCAAACTTACAGGAACAGCACAGAAGACAGACAACATTAAAAACATGTACTTGCATGTAGGACAACTCAGTTAGAAAAGTATAGTGAATGGATGGAATCTACTGTATGATAAAAACGCTACAAACACCATTTAGTTGCCATCAATAAGAAATTTACTTGTTTTAAAAAAATCCAAATGCTGGCATTGTCCAGAAAAATTTAACAGGTTTATTTATAATTATTATAAAGTTGAACCGCTGAAACTTGTTCTCTGAAACATTTTAACTTTCATTAATGCTTTACGTCTCCGCATTTATATTAAAAATTCACACACAAATGAAAATGGAAAAACTGCCAATACCTGATTTCTGTCCCCTATTTTTCCACTCGCAATCATATACTTAGGTACCTTTTGACCCCACGGAAAAAAAATTATCTAACATTCAGAACTACCAGTAACAGGAAGAAGAGAATTTTTTTTTTTTTTGAGAATGAAATGTTTCCCATCATAGTGGATTCTTAAGCAGGCTCTCCACGTATGCGGCGTGCTAGCTGGATGTCTTTTGGCATAATTGTTACACGTTTGGCATGGATAGCACAAAGGTTGGTGTCTTCAAAAAGGCCAACCAGATAGGCCTCACTTGCCTCCTGCAAAGCACCGATAGCTGCGCTCTGGAAGCGCAGATCTGTTTTAAAGTCCTGAGCAATTTCTCGCACCAGACGCTGGAAGGGAAGTTTGCGAATCAGAAGTTCAGTGGACTTCTGATAACGTCTAATTTCACGGAGTGCCACAGTACCAGGCCTGTAACGATGAGGTTTCTTCACCCCTCCAGTAGAGGGCGCACTCTTGCGAGCGGCTTTTGTAGCCAGTTGCTTCCTGGGTGCTTTACCACCGGTAGATTTGCGGGCAGTCTGCTTTGTACGAGCCATGGTATAGAGACCTCCTTACTTACCCCCCTTCTCCTTCTGCTGGAGCTCGGCGAGCGAGAGGCGGCGCTGGCGTTGGAGAGCGACGGCGGCGCGGCGGCGGCTGCGAACACCTGGAGTTTCATTCTTGTTGCCCAGGCTGGAGTGCGATGGCGTGATCTTGGCTCACTGCAACCTCCGCCTCCCGGGTTCAAGTGATTCTCCTGCCTTAGCCTCCCCAGTAGCTGGGATTACAGGCATGCACCACCACGCCCAGCTAATTTTGTATTTTTAGTAGAGACGGGGTTTATCCATGTGTATATTTAGTAGAGACGGGGTTTGTCCATGTTGATCAGGCTGGTCTTGAACTCCTGACCTCAGGTAATCTGCCCGCCTTGGCCTCCCAAAGTGACGGGATTACAGGCATGAGCCACCATGCCCGACCTTCTCCTGATACTCTTGAAGTAAATTTTTAGCTTTAAATAAATTCTTCTGTCATAGATGATCTTGGTTTTAAAAAAGGGAATTAATTGACTGTACTAGAAAAAGACAGCATTTACACATCTGAATTCTTTAGCACTTACTGTCTTACTTCATTGCTGCAGGCCATTTGTTGCCATATGGTGGTGTAACTGTTAGGTTGGTGCAAAAGTAATTGTGTTTTGCATTGAAACGGCACCAACCTAAGAGCTAGCTCTAACTAGCTGAATATCTTTTCTGTCTGTGGACATCACACTAGCTGTATTAGCAAAGAGATGACTAAGCATTCCGTAATTTTACTTCATTTAATCATTATAAATTGGTTCAATCGATTTTTTTTTTTTTTTGGTAGACCCATGTAGTTTCTACAATGCTTGCTTTAAAACGTGAAAAATGTGTTTTTTTTGTTTTGTCTTTTTCTTTCTGAGACAGGGTCTCACTCTGTCACCCAGGTTGAAGTGTGGTGGTGTAGTGGTGTGATCATGGCTCACTGCAGCTTTGACCTCCTGGGCTCAAATGATCCTCCCACCTCAGCTTCCCAAGTAGCTGGGACTACAGGCGTGCACCACCACACTCGGCTAGTTTTTAAATTTAGTAGAGATAGGGTCTTGCCGTGTCTCCCAGGCTGGTCTTGAATTCCTAGACTCAAGTGATTTTCCCACCTCAGTCCGCCAAAGTGCTGGGATTACAGGTGTGAGCCACTGTGCCTGGCCCAAACCTGTAAAACAGGTTAAATCTGTTATGTTCCTTTCAGAAGAGATGTCTAATATTAACTTGTGTTATACAATATCTAAAACATAGGCTTTCAATGTTTTTTTAACAGTATATCACAGAATTGGCAAATGCCCTGTCTTACTGTCATTCGAAGAGAGTTATTCATAGAGACATTAAGCCAGAGAACTTACTTCTTGGATCAGCTGGAGAGCTTAAAATTGCAGATTTTGGGTGGTCAGTACATGCTCCATCTTCCAGGTATGTCACTTTAGAGGGGGAGGTTGTTTCGTTTAGCAAACGCCCTGGGAGCTAATCATGAGCTAAACAGAATTTATTTCAGTGGAGATTTTGTGTGATAAGAGGGGTAGGTGGCTAACCCAGAAGTACTTTGGAGTAATTTAGGCTTAATAATCAACTAGTGTTTTCAAGAAAATGTTATTCTGTGTCGATTTGGGGCTATTAATAGTGTTCTAGGCCTAGGGTTAAAGATGCTTAATGTCCTTTGAGGCTAATGAAGGGGAGAAATGAGTCAACAGATAGGACAAGTATATGATAGAGGTAAAGTGCCCATGTGTTGAGGGGGGATGTTCCAGAGGACATCTGCTGCTTCCCGGATGAGGAGAGGGGGAGATGTTCCAGAGGACAGCACCGACAAAGATCTAGTGCTCAGAGTGCAGTCTGCATCAGGGAACTTAGAAACCAAATTAGTTGGTGGAGCTTTGAGGGCGGTGGTGAGAGATTCTCTTTGGTCCAGCTCTGTCAATAGTAGGGCTAGACCTTGCTTGTTCCTCTCACAGCTGAAGCAAAGATGTCAGTCTTAGAACTGTGGAAACCTTAGGGAACTTTCCAAATGAACTACAATATTCTCTACTGTTTTAAATTTGAGTTTAAATAAGCTTTGAAACTTCATGGGAAGTGGGGCACTTTAAAGCATGTATCTACTCATCAAGGTTTGTCAACTTTGGAGGAGGACTCAAATTATAGCCAGATGACTTTTAAAAATAAAGCTGGTTTTAGCCAAAATAACTCTAGCAAAAAAGTTAAAAATATTAAAGCTAGTTTAAAAAGTATAGCCTAAAATAGGTTATATGTGAGGGAGAAACCCTTTACTTTTGTTACAAAGCACTTCTAAGCATTGTTCCCAGAAATTCATCGAATCTGCTGTTTCAGTCTCTCTCTTTTTTTAAAAAACTGGTTGTTATTAGTGGGAGCTGTCACCTGGTAAGACAAACCAGAATAAAGAATTACAGGCTTCATTGAATCACAGAGTTAAACTGGATCTTCACCTGTTGCATTGTGATAGCAAAGATAGCTTATTACTTTCTGAAAAGATTACATAACTGAGTCACTTCACTCCAAATCCAAGATATTAATAATCATAATAATTTCCTTGTTATTGCCTGAGTTTGAGAACCCCAGTTCAGTCCATCAGTGGTGATGGAGGAATTAGATGACCAGAGTGGTATCTTCTGAATCCGAGGTCACAATTCAGTGGCGACTGACTGTTTATGTGCTCAGTGGGTACCAGGCATGAGCATCGATGGTGAAGAGCAGCTGATACAAAGCAACTCAAACCCACGCGGACCGTTCTGGCTTGGTGTCTGCTGTCCCCAGCCTTTTTCCAACCTTTGTTAGGAAAACCTAAACCGATAGAAATGCTGAATTGGTGGTTGATGGCATACCTGTCTATCCAGAGCCCACGTTCAGCAGTTGTTCCCATTTTGTCATATTGGCTGCATCTACTTTTTTGGTGAACACTTGAAAATATGTTGCAAACATATGATGCTTCAACCTTAAGCACTGTAATAGCATGCATCTCCTAAAAATAAGGATATTCTCCTATGTAATTAAAACTATGATTACTCCTAAGAAAATCACTCCTAACAGAATTGGTAATATCTAATATTTAGTCCACATTCAATATTTAGTCCTATTGTCCGAGATGTTTTATAGGTGGTTTGTAAAATCAGAACTTAGTCAAGCCCCATGCTCTGTATTTGATTGTCTCCGTGGTCTTAAGCCAGACAGTCTCTTATTTTAAAGTGGACTTTTCTGATTGTGTTGCCACTTCACTTGGACCTTTATTCCCCGTATTTGCTGCAAATTGGAATTCAGGTCTCAGGGCCTGAAGAGATTAAATACTTTTGGCAAGAGTATTTCATGGGTCACCCTCAGAATTTCAGCATCTCTCGTACCAAAGATCTGCCACAAGGCGGCAAGTATCTACGTCTCTAACCCCAGTGCAGTTACAATGGGACAGTTTCTAGTGTCTTGTCATTGCCACCAGGCTCTTAAGAGTCTTAGTTTATGTGTAATATCTATATGCAGATATAGAATTCTAAATCGTATTTACAGAGAACATTGCATGGTAGCTTTTATGTGGTAGTGATACATTCAGTTTCTTAACGTTCTAGATCATTCAGGGAGGTTCTGGAGTGGGACAAATTTGGGATTAAGGTTTTGGTGGCTAGCTGTGGGACCTCACTGTTTCCCATGGGAATTTATAATAGTAGGTGCTTCCTAGGACACAGGGTCCGGCTCAGGGAAGTGCTCAGTGTTCGTGGAATTAATGATTTTTAGCAGCTATTGTGATCATGAAACCAGAAGCACATCAGCCTGAGCCTTGCTTCGTTTTTAGGAGAACCACTCTCTGCGGCACCCTGGACTACCTGCCCCCCGAAATGATTGAAGGTCGGATGCATGACGAGAAGGTGGATCTCTGGAGCCTTGGAGTTCTTTGCTATGAATTTTTAGTTGGGAAGCCTCCTTTTGAGGCAAGCACATACCAAGAGACCTACAAAAGAATATCACGGGTAAGACGTCACTGAAAAGGACCCAGCACTTCTGCTGGAATTGTTTCCTTATCAGCCTGAACTTCAGGCCTAGATCCGAATATCTATACTATTTGATCTCTCCAACCTGCATTTTGTGATATTTTATCATTTGCTGTACTCCAGGTTGAATTCACATTCCCTGACTTTGTAACAGAGGGAGCCAGGGACTTCATTTCAAGACTGTTGAAGCATAATCCCAGCCAGAGGCCAATGCTCAGAGAAGTACTTGAACACCCCTGGATCACAGCAAATTCATCAAAACCATCACATTGCCAAAACAAAGAATCAGCTAGCAAACAGTCTTAGGAATCGTTCAGGGGGAGAAATCCTTGAGCCCAGGGCTGCTGTACAACCTGTCAGGAACATGCCAGTGACATTTATCTTACTGTTCACCGCTGCCCTCAGTTTAGGACGCTACAAGAAATATTTGTTTTACTAAGCAGGTGTGCCTTAACCTCCCTATTCAGAAAGCTCCACATCAATAAACATGACACTCTGAAGTGAAAGTAGCCACAAGAATCGTGCTACTTACACTGGTTTGTAATCTGGAGGGCAAGGTTTGACTGCAGCCGCCCCCTCAGCCTGTGCCAGGCATGGTGTCCTCACAGGAGACAAATCCAGATTCTGGCTGTGGGGAAAGTGACCACTTTGCCCTGACTCGATCAGTTAAGGAGCTGTGCAATAACCTTCCACATACCTGAGTGAGTGTGTAACTTATTGGGTTGGCCAAGCCTGGTAAAGCTGTTGGAATGAGTATGTGACTCTTTTTAAGTGTGAAAATAAAGATATTTGTACAGACTTGTATTTGTTCTCTGGTGGCATTTCCTTAGGAATGCTGTGTTTGTCCAGCACTCCGGCAGGCCTGGTTGGGTTTCTAGTCCTCCTTAACCACTTATCTCCCATATGAGAGTGTATAAAATAGGAACACGTGCTCTACCTCCATTTAGGAACTTGCCTGGGATACAGAAGAGGCCATGTGTCTCTGAGCTGTTAAGGGCTTATTTTTTAAAAACCACTGGAGTTTTTAAATAGCATGTGTGGAAACTTTATGCAAATAAATATCTATGTCTGTGTGGAGTACTGTGTAATTCTTCCCATCACCTGTTTTTTGTTGGCCTGGAAATGAGCAGGTGCTGAGAGGAGCAGGCTTTGCCGCCCTCTTCCGGTCTCTTCCTGTCCGGTGTACTCCTAATACTTCATTATATGTATTGTTTACGTATTTGTTATATATTGTCTTCTGTCCATTGACTAACCGTGATGAGGGAATGGTGGAAGTGTTGGAACTTAGGGCTAGGAGAGAAAATTTGCTTGCATGGCCAATCCTCTGTGCAGGAAACTAGACAGCAGGTATGTTAGGATATATCATAATGAAGGGGCTGAGATAGAGAACCTTAAAAACGCTACTGAGTAAAACTGCAGTTGCCAGCCCCCTTGGGACAAAGGAGCTTCTGGTTCTGTCTTGACCTGAGCTGACTTTGACATTCCCAAATACTTCGTGTGCCACCCTCCCGAACTACAGTTACTATCACGTGGCCAACTTCCCCAGTGATACCAGCGAAACATTGTCCCCAGACAATCCCACACGGGCAAAGAAAAAGCTCATTGTAGTAGCACATTAATACCCTGGCCACAGTGCCACTTCATCAGCAACCGTGGCTTACCAGAAGGGGAATAAAAAAGTTCATAAGCTATAAAGATGTTTCACAGAATTTAAGCTGCTCACTTTGTCAGATAAATTAGAAACAATGGCTTGCATTTTTAAAATAGATCTGTTTTATTCTGCTAGTTCTGTAAAAACAATGTAAACACAAGCGTTCTGTACATCTTGCTGGTGAATTCACAGAATGCTTAGTTCTGTGATCCTTGGACCCCCTCGTCTTCAGTTATTTTTTGTTGGGACCACTGGCCACAGGAGTGGAGAGAGCTATGTGGCTTTTTGGTATGACTCGTTTTATTGCTTGCCCTATCAGCACACTCCCGTTACTCTTAACACAGAATTTGAGATTTAAGCCCTTAAACCTGCAGGAATCACCGTCAGCTTTTTTTTTTTCTTTTCTTTTTTTTTTTTCTTTTTGCATAAGGCATTACTAGGGACATGAATGGGAGACTGGTAAAGAAAGTGGTGAAGAGTCAATGCCAACAAACTGCTTTAAACACAAGATGAAAACGCTCTGTTCCGGCCACACAGAAAATCACCCAATACTGGTGTGAGGCATTTCAGCTGTAGGGAAGTCCTTGGAATCAGATCTTGGACAGTTCCAGCTTTAAGTCACTAAAACCTTTTGGTAGTGGGCTAATTGCCTTAGAGGAAAAAAGAAAAAGGTTTACTTTAAAGACCTTGCAAGTGGAGAACTTGTCCTACAAAGATTCTTCGAAATGTTAACGGATAACTGGCATGGGTAACTGGGCCAGCCAGGAGCTGTCAACAGCCCGATCTCAGCAAACCAGGACAGCCAGTTCATAGTTCCTTCAGTTCTCTGAGGGTCACAAATGCAATTTTATTTAGCCTTGTGGAGATTCTGCAACAATTCTAATTTTAAAGGAATTGGGAGTCAGAAAGATAAATGCAACTCCTTCAACTCTGTGACGGCAGACTGGTTAATCTGGGTTCCCAGAGTGTGGAGCAAGTGCCCTGCATCAGAGAACAGCCCAGGGGAAACTTGCATGATGTTGAACCCCACAGGACAGAATTAATTCAATCGCCTATTCCTGACTGCTATAAGGAGGAAGTCTCAGTGCCTCAGTTTGCATCTGCACTTGGATTTCTTTTTTTTTTGGAGATGGCGTCTCCCTCCGTCATCCAGGCTGGAGTGCAGTGGTGCGATCTCGGCTCACTGCAACCTCTACCTCTTGGGTTCAAGCAATTCTCCTGTCTCAGCCTCCCCAGCAGCTGGGAATACAGGCATGTGCCACCACGCCCAGCTAATTTTTGAATTTATTGTAGAGACGGGGTTTCATCAGGTTGGCCAGGCTGGTCTCGAAATTCTGGCCTCAAGTGATCTGCCTGCCACGGCCTCCCAAAGTGCTGGGATTACAGGTGTAAGCCACCGCACCTGGCCTCTATGCTTCAATTTCTACTCTTAGCCACTCTAACACACATGCCCTTGATTTCGTAAAACTGGCTCGGTAGACTACACCTGCTCGTGTAATACAAGCCCCTCCCTGGCTTGTATTAGCTCATAGTTGCCTTCCATTGTGATAAGTGCTACTAATTTTCCTTTTTAGGAAGTGATACAAAATCCTTTTTTTCCTGAACAAGATTTTTAACTCAAAATAATGAGAGTGTAAACATGACAGTTCCGGAATGTCTGAAGTTTGAGATAAAGATTGTCTAAGAAAAGCTAAGATTGTCTTAGCTGTTTATGTGTGCTATCCAAATTCCTCTGGAACACGGGCATCAGGAGCCAAGCGATGCCACTGCTACTTGGCATCTGGGCAGAGTTTTCATATTTTACCTATACAGAGGCAAATGACGCTGATCTGCTTTAATGAAATTTCAGAAAAACCATCTGGGATCAGCCCCATCATGTCCAGCTTGGAAGGTGTTTGGGGATCAAAGGAAACATACCAGAAATACTGTTCTTTCCCCATAACAAATGTAATGAATGTCAAGGTATTGATGCTGATTTAGATTGTGATTACATATTAAGTCTTGCTTCATTACTTGAAACACTGGCAGCTGTTTTGCAGAATGCTGCATATTAAACTGTAGGCAGCTGACAACAAATATCAGCGGAAGGGGATATTTAAAAGCCAGTTAAATTAATCATTGCTTTTTACAAACCTGAGCCAAGATGAACCCCCTGGAGCTTTTACAGACAGACTCTCGCTAAAACCTTCCAGAAGGAACATTTGTAGGTTATTTTGTTTTGAGATGTTAACCCATCTGTGATGTCTTGCTGACATTTTAGATTACATATACAAACCCTATAATGAATAGCGTTCACAAAATTTATGAAGCAAAAAAATTAAAATTGTTCAAAAGCCTGATTTTTGCTGGCAAAGTTTATCCATGAGAACATAGCAATTAGCCCCCTACACCTCCGAAATAAACCCTACAATCCTAAAACCAATCCAAATTATGTAATTTAGAAGAAAGAGGTTTTCAGTGCCTAGGACTGAAGAGTTCATTAAGGTTTTGCAGCTGGAGGTTTAAAAAATCCCACTTTTCGAAAATATCTGACAATCAAGGGCACAGAGACTAACGTAATGCTGATTCTCACTGGCGCAAACAGCTTGTGGATCGCATAGGCCACCACGAAGGTACTTGTGCCTGCTGCCATTTTTGACTGTACCAGGGATTCTTTAAATCCGAGTTTCAGCAGGACTGCAGACATGTCCACACCACTGCAGGGAAAGAGGCAAAGAAAATAACGATTACAGCAAGGGATTAAATGAAGAAACTGATTTGGCTACAAGATTTACAGTATTCAAAAAAATGTGACGAAGTAGCTGAATGAATAAAAAGTCTTAATGGCCACGTGCAGTGGCTCACGCCTGTAATCCTAGCACTTTGGGAGGCTGAGGTGGGAGGATCTCTTGAGCTCAGGAGTTCAAGACTAGCCTGGGCAACATAGCAAGACCCTTGTCTCAATAAAAAAATCATAAAATCAGCCGGATACAGTGGTGCATGCCTGGAGTCTCAGCTACTTGGGAGGTTGAGGTGGGCGGATCACTTGAACCCAGGGAGGTTGGGACTTCAGTGAGGCGTGATCGTGCCACTGCACTCCAGCCTGGATAGCAGAGACCCTGTCTTAAAAAAAAATGTCTTAGCCAACAAGTTCTTATTTACCTAAAATCTTCCATGACAGTATAAAACAAATATTAATTACCGTCCAAGATCTTACCTTGACACAACCATGTAAAATATGCCCAAGGAGATTAATGAGATTCCGATGTGCACCGACACACCAACAGTGCCATATTCTTGAAAAATCTTTTTCAGCTGCTGTGACTTGCTTAGCTTTTTCTCCTCTGTGCAGCTGACGCTGCTGCCTGTGGTCTCCGTGGGCTGGCTGAGGTCCTGTGTACAAACCAGAGAAGAGGAGGTACATTAGGGCAGGCACGGGTAGTCATTACCAGCTTTTATACACACATGCAATGTTCTACTCTGTTCTGCTTGATGAGATCTGTTACCCCTTTCTTAACCAGTGAGCCGAGTTCGAGCCAACTTTAGTCACTAAGTGCAATGCAGGCTGGAACTAAGTATGGCCGGCAGAATGATGGCTCCAAAGAGGTCCTAATCTCAGGATCTGTGAATATGTCACCTTACATGGCAGAAAGACTTTGGAGATGCGATTAAGGGTTTTGAGATGGAGATGAGCCCAGATTACCAGGGCTACGTTATTACCAATGTAATCACAAGGGTCCTTATAAGTGAAAAGAGGGAGGCTGGAGACTCAGTGTCGGGGACGGAATGTGAGGAAGGAATCATGGTGAGGGATCTGAAGATGCGGTGCCGCTGGCTTATGGAGGCAAAGGCCATGAGCCAAGGAATGCAGGCAGCTTCAACCTGGAAAAGGCAGGAAATAGATTTGAGCCTTCAGAAGGACCCGGCTCTGCTGAGACCTTGACTTTGGTGCATTAAGACCCATTTTGGATTTCTGACCTCCCGAACCGTAAGATAATAAATGTGTCTCGTTTTAAGCCACCAGGTATGTGGTCATCTGTTGCAGCAGCAATAGTAACTAAAACGCTAGGGTTCACACGCGTGGGGACAATGATCCTTTATCAAGCATTTTCTCTGAGCCAGGCAGTCCTCCGATGCTTTCTCCTTCCATCCTCACGCCAACCTTCGGAGGGAGATACTTCTGCATTTCCCCACTTGACAAAGGAGCAACACAGGCTTGGTGAGGTGAGGTCACTGGCCTGAAGTCACCAAGATCAGAGCCCAGGCCATCCAAGTCCACAGCCTGAGCATGTGACAACCAAGGTATACGCCACCGAAAAGGGACAGTGTGCACAAAATTAATGCAGCAAAAGCAAGGGCAGATTTACTCCTAAAATCACGATTTACACCTGACATCCGAAATAGACAAAGGGAGGGGCATTCGTGCACAGTACACTACCAGGACTTCTACAGAAATCAGGGATTGCACAGGACATCTGTTAACAGTTACTGAGTACCTACCAAGCCTGGAATGTGAAACAAAAATACCAACGATACCTGGATTAGGGGAGGAAAACACCCCCTTCTCAGTAAGATAGCACTTTCATCGAAAGACCGATAAGGACCCTCTTGGGGCTCGTTCTGGCAGGGGACAAGCACCTGGCTCTGAGTCAGCTCTTGGATGGGCTCTGCAGCTGGCCCACTTCTACCCTGTTATTTTTAGAGGTATAAGATTTTTTTAGAACATTTGAGGAAAACCCTCAGCGTCCTCACAATAGGTCCCTTTGCTGAGCTAGGGGCTGAGCTTACACCTCAAAGGCATCATTTCATAAATCCCTCCAGCCTCATGACCCAGAAGCATTTGTCACTCCTGTTTGACAGATGGATGACTGAGGCTCAGGAGGGAGGGACGGCTGGCTGGCAGCATGGACTGGTGACTGGGCGGGTCACCACCAGGCCTCAGCCTCTGTGGTATCCAGCAGGCTCCCTTTTCCTGTCCTGCAAGAATGACCGTTCTCCAAGGAAGACATTTTTCCAGAACGTCCAGGTTCTGGAGGGGAAGAGGGGAGGAAGATGTCATCAGCCTCCCTTTCACTGGCCAGCACACGTGACCTCCCGTTTCCTTGAAGCCTTCTGACTAGCCCTGCCAACCCCGGCAAGGATGGCTGTGTGGAAAGCATAGGTTCTCCCTGATAAACAAGCCCCCACCCACCTCCAGCTGCTGAGGAAGGCTGCGGGTGGGGGAGTAGCCAGGCGGTGAGGACTGATAGGAGGCTACCAAACATGCATGCCCTTGACACTTGGCCCCACTTTGTCCATTCACTGGACCAAGCGCAGCTGTTTCTGAGAGGTCTTTATTTTGGCAAAAGGCCTTTTGGCCAAAAAACAAAAATAAAAAGACGGCCGGAATTCCAGCTATAGAATGAACAACATCTACTGCAAGACTGTGATAAAGACGAAACATTCAGACTCAGGGAAAATCTTCGGTTAGCTGGCACCGTGGTTGGTTTCTGACATTCTAGAGAACACCTAGTTACTGGACAATTTTCTTCCTTTGGTTTTGGTAAAAACACCCATCTTTAAGCACTGTGAGCCATGCATTTCTCTCCCTCACCCTTGCGGAGACTAAGGAAGCTAAAATAAAAGAATTTATGACATAAGCAAGCAATGGAAAAATTTTAGACATGCATTTCCTCGTGAAACATTGCCTTAAGTACCCAGGATGTGTCAGGCACTGCCCTGAGTGCACAGGACGATGTTACCCATTCTCTGTCTGTACTCAACATGCGTTCATATGTATGCGCGCGCGCGTGTGTGTGTGTGTGTGTGTGTGTGCGCGCGCATGCGATGCCCCTTCTGCCTTTCCCCCACATTTTTTAAAGTACAAAAACCTGTAATAGAGAAGGGGCAGGAAGGTTTAAAGAATGAGCCATTGCCTTGCCAAGTAGATCACAGTGTCTGGAGTGACACCTGTTTGTTTTCACCTGATAAATCATATTAATAATAAACACTATACTATGTATACTTTGTACCAGGCACTGTTCTGAGTATTTTGAAACTATTGGCTAGGCATGGTGGCTCATGCTTGTAATCCTAACAGCTTGAGAAGCCGAGGCAGGAAGACTGCTTGAGGCCAGGAGTTCAAGACCAACCTGGCCAACATATCTTTTATTTTATTATTTTATATTTTTGAGACGGAGTCTTGCTCTGTTGCCCAGGCTGGAGTACAGTGGTATGAACTTGGCTCACTTCAACCTCAGCTTCCTGAGTTCAAGTGATTCTCCTGCCTCAGCCTCCCAAGTAGTTGGGACTACAGGCATGTGCTATCACGCCTGGCTCATTTTTCTATTTTTAGTAGAGATGGGGTTTCATTATATTGGCCAGGCTGGTCTCGAACTCCTGACCTCAGGTGATCCGCCCTACTTGGCCTCCCAAAGTGCTGGGATTACAGGCGTGAGCCACTGCCCCGGGCCTTGTCTCTAATTTTAAAACAAGGAAATATTAATGCATATAATCTTCACAACAATCTTGTACTACTGTCAACCCCACTTAATAGGATTTGAGAAGCCCAGAGAGGTTGAGTAATTTATCGAGGATCACACAGGGATTATTGTCAGAGCACGGATCCAAACCTACTGAGTCTGGGTCCAAGGCCTGTGCTCTGAACAACTATGCTATGTTACTCCTCTCGTATTCATGAATGTCTCCCTTGTGGCAGACACTGTTCTAAGCGTAGGGGACAGAGCAATGGACAAAACTGACAAAACCCCACCCTCAATGAGCTTATGGTCTTGTGGGAAGGCAGGACAATAAACAGAAAAGTAAAATACTTGCTACAAGTGCCATAGAGAAACACCAACCAGGGCGGGGAGACAGTAGGACCAGTGGGAGGAATGTTGCAAGTTTAAATATGGCCATCACGGAAGGTCTCCCTGAAAGGTGGCACTGGAACCAGAACTGACGGAGACAAAAGGACACTGGGGCTCTGGGAGAGCAAGTCATTTGCCTGGGCTCCCCTATCCCCCTGGAAAGGGTAAGTGGTACAGGCAGGCGGGGCTGCTCCGCGGTTTACAGGACATGGAATCACGTTAAGACAAAAAGGCGGGTCTCTTCTGTGGCTTTCCCTACCCCTCTTACAGAGACCCCTTGCCAAGGCTGAGGTGGGTGGGCCTCTTCGGCTCTCAGTTAAACACCTGGCAAATTTGGAGATCCCACCTGGGCAGCACACTCCTACCTCCCAAACAGGGCAGCTAGAACAGCTTTGTGTTTAAAGAGACCCTGCACCTGCTCACAGGCCCTGCTGGGGACACGTTTTTTTCAGGCAGATGAGTTATCTTTTGTCCTAACCTTCTTTGAGGTTCTGATCCCACTTGGATTTTGCCGATCTTACCTCGGTGCAGAAGAAACAAGGACAGCTCACCAGACCCTGGGGCCTTGTGACTGTATATATTTACTGCAATTATAACCATTTCTAACCTTAATTTAGGACACACCAGATGCCAGGTATGAACATATCTCATTTTACATTCATACTCTATGACATCTGAATTATTACCGTCCCATTTTACAGATGAGGGAAATGAGATTGAAGAGAATTTGATCAAGGTCACACAACAAGTAAGTAGAGAGAGGAATCCAGGGAGTCTGAGACCAACTCTTTGCCACTGTATACACACACACCGCTCCAGTGCCAGTGCCTGAGCTGGGAACAAGGTCAGTGTGGCTGACAGACAAGTGGGACAAGAGGCCGTTCTCCGTAAGTGCACCAAAGACCCACAGCCATGGTGCAGGGGGCCAGTGGAGGCATCCCAGGTGGTTAGAAAGGACGTCCTGGAGGAAGGAACAGCTGGGCCGGGCCCTGAAGAATCACCAGGAGGTGGCACGGTGTGTGCAGAAGGTGCTTCTCTAGAGAGAATCCCCACGACCTATGTGCCACCTGTGGGACTGCAGAAGGCAAGGAAGGAAGCTGATCTGTGCAGGAGGCAGGGTAAGGGCCTGGGTCCAATCCCATCCGCTCCTTGATGAAAAACTAGGGACGACTAGGAGATGCCCGCTGGGCCTGCGGCACTGTGCTGAGGCCTGCACCGGCTCATGGAGTTCTCTCCCACACTCTTGCTGGGAAGGTGCTATTTTTGGCCTTCTAAATGGTCAGCAAACAAGCTCACAAGCCTTCAGAGTTCGGTCTGAGGTCACCGGGGGGTGAAAGGAGGGCCCCTGTCTGCATCCAGGGGAACAAAGGGGCTCCAGACTGCGAGGCTGGACGCGCTCCCAGCTGGACGCAGTTTCTGCGCGTCCGGACTTGCCATTCCTGGACCGCCAGACTTCACTATTTACTACTGTTTTTATTTAAAGAGACCCACTTAGAAGAAAGTGATAGATTTCTCGAAAGGAAAGCTGGTATGACTGCTCTGAATGGAAACCAGTTTTCCCTTGGCACCCATGGAAGGTGACGGAAATGAGACATAACAAACAGCACTGTGGGTTCCCTGACGGCGGCTTCCCTGAGGACGCCTGCTCTTCCAGTGAGATAAAAAGGGAGGAGCAGCGAGCGTCGGGAGGTGTTAGAAACACGGCAAGACCCAGCCAGGAGGCCTGAACCACAACCCCGCAGGCCACGCGAGGAAGTTCAGACCAAGTCCGGGCCCACATGCAACTCAGTCGGCTGCACCCTGGCCCGGCTGAGGCTCTGCAGACCCGGGGCTCGGCCGCAGACTGCGCGACCTCGGGCAGAGCGTCATACCTCCCCGGGCCTCAGTTTCTCTGGCTGTCAACTAGGAGGATCGCTTCTCTGGCTTGTAGGGATTTGGGGTTTCGAGGACCCTGGAAAAGCTTGGTCTCGGGCACCTGCAAGTGCAAACCCGTCCTTGGCGGAAGCGGCCGGCCCCGGGAACGGCGCTGCGGAAGTCTGGGGACCCGGGCGCCCCCGGGGATTGGGGGCGGGGTGCGCTTACCTGGCGGCCGCGGCAGTCCCCGCGCGCCGTGCGGAGCAGCCGGGCGTCTGGCCTGGGCGGGAGCAGGGCCAGGGCCAGGGGCGGCGGGGCGCAGGGGGCGGCGGCGCCCAGGAGCCAGGTGGCACGAGGCCGGACCCGGGCGCCGACCCTGCCCGCCGGGCCCAGCAGCGCCAGTAACCCGGCCATGGAGCGCAGCGACGCGCTGCACCCGCGCAGCTGACCCGAGAGACGGGCGGAAGCCCGAGAAGGTGGGCGGAGCCGGCCCCGCGAGCGCACTCCTCGGCCCCGCCCGCGCCCTCTTCGGCCCCGCCCCCTGGGGGGGTGCCGCTGCACGCGCGGTGGGCGGGGCTTGAGAGGCGTGTTCACACCCTCTTAGCTCAAGCAATACCTCCGCTCCTCGGGAGCTTTAGTCCAGCGCTGGTGGGAGGGGCTGAAGGCGCGCGCCCCGCCTCCCCTCCTCTCACAGGCCCCGCCCCTTTGGTGGTGAGTGCGCGTCTTTGCAGGGTCTTGGGCTTCCTGAGGAGTGTGGTTGGCGGGTTCCCTTATTCTGCGGGCACAAAGGTGGGCATAGGGCGGTGGCTTATGAGCTTTTCTCCCTGCAGAAATAGGTGAAACCTGAAAAAAGTTATATATATGTTTACATGTTAGCTCCAAAGAAAATAAATATGAGAATTGACATTAGTACATGTTTGATAAAAAGCCCTCTCAATGACCCTCATACATTGTTGGTGTGAATGCGAATGAAGCTAAAGATGATGTGGCAGTTTCTTAAAAAGTTAAACGTATACTAACCATATAACCCAGCAACTCCACGCCTCAATAGCTTCTCAAGAGAAAGAAAGGCTCAACGCTCAAAGACTAACACGTGAAGACACCAGTGTTTGTAGAGATCTTATAAATATTAGTGGAAAATTAGGAATGTTCATAAACTGGGACACACTGTGGCGCAACCCTTAAAGGAACGCTATTCTGCAATTAAAGGGAACAGACTACGGATACGCGCACAACATAAATGAATCTCCAAGCTCTTAATGCCAAGTGAAAAGATCTGGGCACGAAAGTCACACATTGTAGGATTACCCCTACATGACGTGCCCAGAATAGGCAAAATCATAGAGACCTAAAACAGATCAGTGGTGGTCTAGGGCTTGGGAGTGGGAAATGAGATCGACTACCAAGGCGCAGGAGGAATGTCTTGGGTGCGGGAAGGATCCTAACTTCCAGACTGTGGGGATGGTGGTAGCTCTGTAACTAAAACTCGTGGGACTGTACATTTAAAATGGATGAATTTTATGCTATGTAAATTATACTTCAGTAATGATGTCCTGGCTGGGCAGAGTGGCTCATGCCTATAATCCAAGCACAACGAGAAGCTGAGGTGGGAGGGTTACTTGAGCTCAGGAGTTCAAGACCAGCCTGAGCAACATATCGAGGCCCTGTCACTACAAAAGTAAAAATAAAAATAATTTAGCTGGGTGTGGTGGCACACACCTGTAGTCCCAACTACTTGGGAGGCTGAGGCAGGATTGCTTGAGCCCAGGAGATCCACGTTGCAGAGAGCCACGATAGTGCTACTGCACTCTAGCCTGGGCGACAGAGCGAGACCCTGTCTCTCTAGAAAAAGAAACATAGTTTACAAAAGATGTGATATTCTGTTAGTCAACTGCAATTCAACCAAGCTGTTACATAGGCACAGAAATGATACTGAACATATGTGAATTTAAAAATGTTTATTACATAAGATGGAATTAAAGCTGTGAAAGTGACAGGCTGTGTCGGAGCGAGGTCCTAACATGCCCCTGGATGGGAGTCCTTCTGTTTAAGTGCCTGCAGAAGCTGTGCAAGAGTGGGTAAGGGTGCAGGTTGTCTGTCAGATTGGCTCTATCAGTCCAGCTGTGTGATCTGGAACTGGTGACTCAACCTCTCTGAGCCTGTTTTTTCGTGTGTAAAATGAGGATAAATGGGATTGTTGGGATAATTCTTTGACACAGTCCTTGGAAAGGTGCATTGAGAGGCCACACACGTTAGCTGTGATGTTGTAGAGGAGCCTTGCCTGAAGCCCTTCTGTCACTCGGTGGCAGTGCCGCCTCCAGATGGCACCTGATCTCGAGTTCCTCACGGTTCCCATGATTTTCTTGTCACCAGGTCTTCTCCGTTCATTTAAGTTTCCTGCCTGGGCTTTATGGGCAATTGAGTTTGTGATTCTTGCTATATGCTCATTAGAGAAGAGAAAAAGATATTTTTGTTTATTCCATTACATTTGACAGTAAATATAATACTGTAATTATAGACTTTAGGTGTCTTTTTCTCGTCTTCTAAAAGCGATGAAGAAACTTTTCCCTTTAACAAAATGTACTGTAGCTGCTGCCTGCCTGAACTTGTGACAGTTTTTTTTTCTACTGTGTCAGCTTTCTTTGTCTCTCTAGAGCAGCAGCTCATGCCTGAGCTATAATTATTTTAATTTATTCATTTTGTGAATAGATCATGTATTCTCATGATCCGGATTTTTAAAGGTACAAGAAGTCTACTCAGTGACAAGTTTCCTTCCTATCCCAATGACCAGTTCGTCCCATTTTATCTCCCTAGAGGCAAACACTGTTACCTGTTCCTTGCGCATATCCTTCTAGAGAATTTTACATGTGTGCAGGCAAATTCCTACAAACAGTTTCTATCGCTATTTTTACCCAAGCGGAGCATAGTATAGACAAGTGTTCCTCACCTTGACTTTTTTGCTTCAAATGTATTTTGGAGTTTTCCGAATCTGTACACAAAGTTTTTCCTTATTCTTAAAAAAATCTGCTGGGCATTCCAGTGCATTCCAGGGTGCTGTAATGCATTTAACCAATCCCGTGTGGGTGGACAATTAGGGTATTTAGAATATTTTCCAGTCATGTGATCAGAAACCGTGCTGCAATGAACCAGCGGGTACATCATTTGCCGTGTTTAAGTATGCCTGTGTAATAAATTCCTCAAAGTGAAATTGCTTAGTGAGAAGATACGTGTATTTGTAAATCTGAAGAAATGGCAAAATTTTACTCCGTAAAGTTTGCAGAGTACAGCAAATGAGAGTGTGCTCTTTTTGTTTTTTGAGATGGAATCTTTCTCTGTCACCCAGGCTGGAGTGCAGCGGTGTGATCTCAGCTCACTGCAGCCTCCGCCTCCCAAGCTCAAGTGATCCTCCTGCCTCAGCCTCCCGAGTAGCTGGGACCACAGGAGTGCATCACCGTGCCCGGCTAATTTTTGTATTTTTTGTAGAGATAGGGTTTCGCCATGTTGGCCAGCCTGGTCTCAAACTCTTGGCCTCAGATGATCCGTCTGCCTCAGCCTCCCAAAGTGCTGGGATTACAGACATGAACCACCGCACCCAGCCAAGAGTGTCTGTTTACCCAGACTCTCAGATGGTGTTTTTAGCAGAGAAATGTAGGACTGAATTCTACGTTCTTAACTTGAGAATCTGACAGCATTAAAGGCAACCATCTAGGGCCAGGTGCAGTGGCTCACACCTGTAATCCCAGCACTTTGGGAGGCTGAGGCAGGCTGATTACCTGAGGTCAGGAGTTCGAGACCAGCCAGGCCAACATGGTGAAACCCTGTCTTTACTAAAAATTCAAAAATTAGCTGGGCGTGGTGGTGCATGCCTGTAGTCCCAGCTACTCGGGAGGCTGAGGCAGGAGGACTGCTTGAACCTGGGAGGTGGAGGCTGCAGTAAGCCAAGATTGTACCACTGCACTCCAGCCTGAACGACAGAGAGACTCTATCTTAAATAAATAAATAAATAAATAAGGCAGCCATTTAAATAATATTGAGTTGTATTAGTTTTCTATGCTGTTGCAGCAAAAAAAGTTCACCCCAAACTCAGCGCTTAAAACAACATGCGTTAATTATATCACAGTTACTGTAAGAGACGGGAGGCGTAGCCTCACTGGGTCCTCTGCCTGGGATCTCACTAGGCTGGCTGTGATTGTGGTCTCATCAGAGGCTTGACTGGGTAAAGGTCCACGTCCAAGCTCCTGCAGGTTGCGGGTGTGTTTACAAAACCAAGGGCTCTGGGTTCTTACTGGTTGTCAGCTACAGTCCCTGGAGGTCCCAAGCTGCCTGCAGTTCCCTGGCAGTTTATAGGTCTCTCACAAAATAGCTGTTTGCTTCTTCAAGGCCAACAGGAGTTATTTCTCTCTCTCTCTCATTTTTCTCTTTCTCTCTCTCCCTTTCCAGTCTGCCAAGACAGAGTCTTATGTAACACAGTGTAACCATGGGAGTAACATCCCATAATTTTTGCCATATTCAGCTGGCTTGAAGCAAGTTGCAGTTTCTGCTTGACCTCAAAGGGCGGGAATTATGCAAAGCACAACCCTCAAGGAGGTGATGCAAAGGAGGCTGGTCTCTGGTGTACCACAACAGGAGAGACAAGTTCTTACATCAGAATACTTACGAAGTGGGGGTGTGTTATTGAAAGAAGGAAGTGGAGGGAGGCCATATTTCAAATAGCTTGTGTGCCTGGGCAATTGTTGTTAAAATAAAGTGGCAGTTCTGCCTTAGAGCAGACAGAATTCAGTGTCTTGAGACAAAAAGCACTTATTCTTGTTTTTTTTCTTTTGTTTTTTGTTTTGTTTTGTTTTTTGAGACAGAGTCTCACTTTGTTGCCCAGGCTGGAGTGCAATGGCGCGATCTCGGCTCACCACAACCTCTGCCTCCCGGGTTCAAGTGATTCTCCTCCCTCAGCCTCCCAAGTAGCTGGAACTACAGGTGCATGACACCATGCCCGGCTAATTTGTATTTTTAGTAGAGATGAGTTTTCACTATGTTAGCCAGGATGGTCTCGATCTCCTGACCTAAGGTGATCCAACCGCCTGGCCTCCTAAAGTGCTGGGATTATAGGCATGAGCCACTGTGCCCGGCCTGAAGAACTTTATGATGATTCACTTCCAGTTAATCAATAGTATTAATAAATGTATTTTTTCTTGCTTATGATTTTCTTAATAACATTTTCCTTTCTCTTGCTTACCGTGTCGTAAGAATATGGCATGTAGTACATATACAAAATATGTGGTAATCCACCGTTTGTGTTCTCCTAGGCTATTACTAGTTATGTTTTTGGAGAATCAAAAGTTAGCTGTGGATTTTCAGGCAAGTTGGGGTCCTTATCCCCCAGCCCACAGTGTCGTTCAAGTGTCAACTGTACTAGTTTATTTAACCCTCCTAACAGCGCCCTGAGGGGGCATCATTCTAATTCCCATTTTGCCTAGAAATCAAGGGCTCCGAGATTAAGAGAGCA